CGAGTCTGGGCTGAAAAAGTCTTATTTCATACCGAATAGATATTTACAATAAAATATATAGTTAATTCCTAACAGGTTCATTTTTTTTGCAAAACTAGAAAAACGTATCACTGCATTGGTGTCCGTGCAAGCTCGGCTCACTGTAAAGAAATTGCTCCTTTTTTTCCTTGGCTTTAGTCTTTATTTCAGTGAGAATAAAAGCGCCCCTACGACACTCATTGCGTATTTTTTGATCAGAAGTCAGAGATTGTGTGCTCAAGGTAGCCGAAAATATAGTCCCGCATGCAGCCACTTGATTTTCATTTTCTCTCGCACAATTGTTCTGCTGGCGGGAAACTTTATAATTAGTTGGAGGGAAAAACACCACGATTTTGTGATATTACTAGCTGTAACATACCTTGTAGCTCTTATAATATTTGTTTATAGGTGCATAAATGAAATGTTTTTTTTTTATTAGGAAGCACACAAAACGAAATTGTCTGATTGGTTCTTGTGTAGACCAAATGTAACCTACTTATTGTTTGGTTTTCTTGAACATATATGAGATGGCATTGCCCGTAACAATGGTACTACACCTGCAATTAAAAAAATTAGTACGAACGTGGGTTAGGAACCGACCCCTTACTTCGCTCACTGCAGCAACACTTACCATTGCATATCCTTTTATCCTGAGCCACCGGTGCGCTTACCATATTACTTTTTCTTCTAGGGCGCTATGCGGGATCGGCCGAGTTTCGCTACTCTGCATCTTCACGAGCACTGGCGACAACCCTTTAAGAACTAGCGGCCCTGGTGACCACCTGTTCTTCTATTTATCTGCAATACTTGAAAGAAACGAAACGCGCAGCACGAGAGTGCTGCGTGTGCACCCTTGCTGCCTTCAAGAGTGAAAATTTCCATGCTGCACGTGGAATGAAACGACCTGTGCGAAATAGGATATATGCCCACTAACACACCTGTGGGAGGTGCGTGTTGAGTGAGCAAAAATACAGCACGACAATCATGCTCACCTAGCTGCACTGCTAAAATGTTAGTGGGTGGCGGCGCTGACGTGCTCGCACGCGGCGTTTCTTTGATAACTGCCACAAATGCCTCACATGTGTTTCAAACGGCCCGCGCGTCGTGCAGCCATATTTATCAACGCTGCTATTACGCTCTACGCACCGTCTTCCTGCCACGGTCACAGCAAGCGAGCACGGAGCAAACTAGGCTGCCCGAGAAGCTCGAGCCATCCTGCATTGCACCCCTGATACGAGCTTTGGGAGCAAGATGCCTTGCGAGACGTCACCTGGTGTTTAACAGATTGAGTTTGTTTGAAAATATGCCATGTGAATTTTGCTAATATCAGTAGAGGAAGCTGACGTTGAAAAAAGCTGGTGCACAGAACACGGTCAGACAATTCATTATAGCGCTTCTTGTCATGCAAGGTAGCGTCTCTCATAATCATATAGTGGTTTTGGGACGTTAAACCCCACATATCAATCAATCATTGTCATGCAAGGTTACCGCGGCCTCCAAAGTGTACCGCTATATGTCACCTACACTTCGTTATAGAGAGTGTCTACAAAATTTGAAACAGACAGGCTGGTAAACTTTACTTATGATGTTCGGTTCGCTACACGACAGGGGCTGCCGTAGGAGATATTGCGTTAAAATACAGAGTAACTCAATGCTCATAACATTGGAAGTGTGCGTATATGTTCGAGAAAAAGAGACAAAATGCTCGGCATATTGCTATCTCACATACATTCTCGTTTCCATATCATCCTTATCCTGGGCCCCATCCGTTATTTGCATTTCCCGGCAGCTTCCAGCATGCTCGTCGAGATGAAATACGATAAAACAAGCTTAGAGCGTGTCACCAGTTCTTGTAACGCTGCCCGGAACTGCGGGATTTCAAAGTTTTTTCAACGTTCTAATTTGTGGTGTGTTAGATTATGATAATAAAATTTTTCTACAGTTTCTTCAAAACGTATCACAAGGCGAAACTATTGTTTTAATGTGGGAATAACTGACAGTTTGACAAAGACATTATGGAACCACATTAAATATTTTCTAGCGCCGATGTATGGTAGGATACTCTTTATTAGACCCATGATTTTAATGGCTTGTGCTAATGACCTTATGCATTATTCAAGTTAGGTAAACCACTGATTTTTTTTTCAAATGGCCTCGCGTACTTAAGGGCTCTTTTTATTCAATGCGACGCCACAATGGTAATAATGGTGAAGTTGCCTGATAGAATCACTCGGGAGCGTAGCCGTTACAAGACACGTGGCACAATACGCGTACGATTTGGCGGGGATTCCGATGCCTTCTCATTATTGTATTGGAGGCTGATATGTCAAATACTAGACAGACCGGATAAATGGGTTCTCCCGGTTTCTTCTTTTTTTTCCCTGATACTTTCATTTTACTGCTGTCTCACTGGCCCGTCATCAACTGACGCTGTATTCATGTTGATCGAAGTCAATAATGAAATGGAGGTACGGGAAAAAAAGCATTGAAGGAACTAACCAGCGTCATCAGGCCATGTGATATAGGCAGGTTCTTTAGCATTGCAAATAGAGCCTTGAATTGATCATTGTTTATGTTAAACCTTACATGAAGGCCAAAAAGGCATATTGTTTGGATTGTTCATGCTGATACCACAACGCATTTTTTTTTATCCCTCGGTGCAGTTCGAGAGAAGTGGTGACTATAACAGGACGAATAGACGTGCGCCCCAAGTAGGTAGGCTGTATTACTAAAGTCGATGCTGCAAATTGACCGAAGATCAAGTGCACTTGATATCACAGCAAATGTGTACGTTTGCCACTGGGAAGAGAACAAAGTGAGTTAATAATCAAAAAAGGGGCATGATAACACGCAATATCGGCTCCACTCTCTGTCAGCGCAGTGGAACTTCTATTTGAAAATGGCATGAGCTAGATGCTAGCGAACTCGCCAACTTGGAAACTTTAGTAAAAGCGCACACAAGTTATTCCGCAACTGACAATCATATAAATTGTACTATGGTACCCCCATAACTACCTGAGGAGAATCGTATATGCAAAGAAAAACGCACAACGCAAAAAAGATGTATGAGGGACAGGTGTAGTGACTTTGAGCAAAAGAACAGTTTTACTTTGGAAACAGTGCGCTGACCACCTGATCATTTGAATGTGAGCGTGCTGTTGGCGTCAAATGAAACGCTGGAGCACAGGACTCAAGATTTAGCAAAGTTAGGGTGAGCGCAACCTAGTCATCAACAGCCATTGACGGGCGCGGACTTCTGGTTTGGCAGCAATGGGCGATTCCCCTACATTTCGATATATTCGCGTGTCCTCTAGTTTTGATATGCAAAACAAAGCAAGAATAAAATAAACAAAAGAGAAGCAAAAGTGAAGGGACCAGTACTGTTCGGCATGCCAAACCGGTCACAGTTATCATAGTACTATGTCAACAGAAGAAGGCAAGCAAATTATATAGGCGGTTAGCGGAGTGCTGCCAAACCGGATGCACGCCCCCTTTGTTGGTGCTTGGCGAATACTTCACGACGGCCACTATTGCTCTGCTGTTGCTTGGTCTAGGCGTTCCGCTGTTAACGTTTCCTTTGACGCCGATAGTAAGTATGAAACTGCATTGCTGACCTGCCTTCCGACAATTACAGCTTCCTCTCGTACGTTCCCAATATCCTATCGTGCGGTTGCATTTAGCATTACAGAAGGCACGCACCACAGCTGCGGGACCCTGCTACAAGCTTAGCGGTCATTCACTGTCTGAGTAGCCGCAAAGCTGAAGTGCGCTAAACCCTGAGAGATGTAGTATATCAGTGTCACATCGGATGACCCTTTAGCTGACCGGTCTAGAGGGAGGCTGCTGTTGTCAGGTTTGAGCTGTAAACAGTTATGGCAAATGGTGCGTGTCCTGAATGTCTTACCACATATTTCGAAAGCAGTAGGCAGCTTTGAAGCGAGACAAACCCACTTTGAGGCGCTGCTACCCTGAGCCAGAAATTTGGCTGCTCTCGCATACGAAACACGTCTCCGTCCAGTAATACGAAAAAACGGCTGCACTTCCAATATCCATTACTGACTTGGTTTGAAGAATTGTCTTTTATTTTTACATTGATTCACTCATACTTTCGATATTCTAAAACACACTTTCCGTTTCAGCTGCAGGGCGTTCAGAGAGAAACCAAAGCAACGGTGAAGCGTGGCGGGTGCAGCAGACGCTTTGAATGAGTGGATTCAATTTCGGAGGCAGTGTCCGCTGGCTTTGAGCAGTGAGAGCCTTAACGCTGTATCGTTTGCACAAAGCTTCACTGGAACGCAGGCCCAAAACACTTTGCAAGGCACAAGTTTACCACGAAAGACAAAAATAACCAATAACTAAAAATAACTTTCAAGTATTTTTTGAAACCTTCTTCACTAACATCATTCTTGGAGATAGATTGTTTCGCTTTATCCGGAGCTGCAATTGTACAATTTTGCGAAACTGTTTAAAAATATTCTATACTGCGTATTTATGTAAAACCGCTAAGGTTAAAATGCATGTGAATTGTAGTTCTAAGGGGTGCTACATTCGAACCAAAGAAAAGGGGTGTTGTTAACCTGAAGAGGTTATATACATATTTATAATTGGCTCAATATTCAAATTTGGGATTATAATAATGAAAACAGGAATAAAAGTTATGTAACATTTGTTAAAACAGACTAACTTCGAACACTTGCATTGCATTTGTGACGCATACTGTTGTAACACAAGGAACATCATATGGATGCTTCTCGTGTAATCACATACGAATGACGTCAAAACCACATGACCTAGCATATAACTAAGTGAGTGCCCCGACCTAGATCATGGCGCTCTAAAAAACCAGCCGAAAGTATTTACATCATTGGATTTCGAACAGGTGAATGTGACGTGCGTCACCAGAGCAATCTGGAGCACTCCAAAACGAGCCGCCGAGCTGTTCATTGAACTTCGCAAAGTGCAAGGAGTGATAACATACGCACCTTTGTTGCCCGATGCATTGATAGTGAAGCCATCATCGCGAATCCAGGCGTCGACCACCGTGTGATGGCGAATGTACGAAGGTACGTAGCACTTGAGTACCGCCGTGTTGCCGCGTATCACAAAGGCATCTTGCACCCTTGGCTCGTAGTGGTAGTCCACAACTGCGAACAAGCAAGCACAAGGAGTATAATTTGTATAAGCAAGTAGTTTAACGTGAGTGGCTTATCTTGTAATAACATACCAAGCAGTTAAAGTAAAAATTACACAGCACACAGTCAGAAACAGCTGTGCGTTTAAGTCTTCGTTTTTTTCTCCTTTTGTTGGCTTTATTTGAGCTTTTTCAAAAATTACAGAGACAACACTAAATTGTATTACTCAACTATATGAAAGGAAACATCATATTTGACATTAGAAACATCATAATCAATGAATACAAAGAATACAAATTTTAAATAAAACCAAGTAGCATCTTTCGTTCCTCGCTTCCAGGACCTTAATTCCAGGATTTTTTGATATCTCAATAACGTATTCCAGCACCACTTTCTATGTATTTTTGTATCACACCATCATACACAAGACGTAGGGTTATTTCCCTCTGGAAATTTTGTGTGAATATTAACTTTCAACTAAAAAGCGCGTCAGCTGAAGGTTTTTTTGAATGGGGTAAAATGTGTAAGTGACAAAAGCTTCAAGCTGGGAGTTCAGTAATGTCCTAACAAAACTAACACAGTTCGTTTATAAACTCGCAAGAACACTCTGCACAGTTAGTGAGATATAAAGTTGCATACTGCATTGAATGTGGCACCCGTTCATGTACACATTTAAGTGTGTGACTTTTTTTATGCATACGCGTAAGTGAGAGAAGAAAGGGTGCTTTCAGGACGCTCGTCTTAGCAACTTTGCTAACATGAGTGCCCTAATAGATGCTGCCTCCTTTGGCTAGTAATTTGCAATTGTGGCCCTTCCAGATAAATCGTTCACTGCATCTGCAAGATAACAACCATTCGGGCACTCCCGTGTGATATTAGTATATGGTAGTGGGTTTCGCTTAAGAAAGAAATGCGCAGAAACCAAACTATGGCTATGCTATCGCAAATGCCAAAGCGCAGCGTAACTTGGGGAAGCCGCGCTTTCTGAATTTGACTTTTTGCTGCGTCATCTCTGGCTCAGCTGATCCTTGGGGTGTACTGCACTAGAGCCAAGCTTGATTTTCGAAGCGAAGCAGACTATTGCGGGCGCTGTGTCCATACCTCATTCTGTCCTGCGACACCCACATTCCCAATGCTCATGTACGTTCCGTCCCTCTTTTTTTCCAATGCTCCCCCCCCTTTCTTTCTCCAGCCGGCAGCGAAGCTAAATAAACGCTTCCTTGCTAGTGCGGCACCACACCCATATTGCGCATGTGGACCCACACTTCCGTCTTTGTCTCGAGTCGGCAGCTAAGGCAATGAAACGCTTCCTCAGTACACACGATGACTTTGTAGCCGTTGAGCGCCGCTCTTACTGCGTTTCGCGTTTCCGTGAGAGAGAGCGAAACATTAAAAAAAAAAGATGGGCCTGCGCAGAAGGCGCAGCACAGTAGTCACAGCGAAAGCTAGAAGAGCGGCCTTTCAGAGCCTATTCTACACAATCATTGGGTAAATGCTGCAAGCACGCTTGCATGATACCCACTACGACACTAACAATGAAAAAAATTTGGGTGGTAGGCCAGCATTCACTAAGGTTTTTTTTTTTGTCATTCTTCTGAGAAGCGTGGTATCCGCTGAGCACTTGCAAGGAATTTCGTGCCAATTATTCATGCAGTGGCTGACAACGATGAATAATTATGGCTGAATTGGGCATGCGTCACAGTTATTAGGAGAACAAGAACAAGGTTTTGTAATGAGCTGGAGTATTGGACGGCCCACTCGTTACGCTATTCGCATTGTGCGACGGCTGGTTGTTCTTTTGTAGTTTGAAAACGCTTTATAAGTCGTATTAACGCGATTGCATTTCCGACACCCAGCCTGCCTAAGGCAAGTTTGCCAACAAGTCCCAAGCACCGGCATGGTTCAGAGGTATATACTGATCTTGCACCCAACGAACCGGAGTTCGAGCCCCAGTGTCATTAGTACTAGGTTTTATTTCGTTTGACAATGGTTTCTGACATCGACGGCAGCGGCGGCGGCAGACAACTCGCTGCGCGAGACCCGAGTGGTCAACCCATAACAGCTTTCGCTGTAAAACGCCAGTCCTGCGCGGAAATCTCAGCACAGTAAAAACTAAAGCTAGAACAGTGGCCTTTCAGAGCCTTTTTTTACACTCTTTAGATAACTGCTACAAACACAATGCTCTGTACCCACCACGCCATAAGATATTACATTATTTGTGTAATAGGCCTGCATTCACTATGCTATCCTTCGTCATCCTTTAGAGAAGCGTGGTATCTGCTACACACTTGTTAGCGATTTTGCGCAATTATTTGACGGCGTTGCTCAGTGGTGGAATATGCAGCTGGCACAAGGCAGACTCGGGTTCTAATCACATTGTATAATTGATGTTTTTATATACAAATTGTTTTTTCGTCCAATATTGGTTACAGACACCTGCGGCGGTGGCACTGGCAGAAAACTACGGCTCCACGCGTGACCCGTGTTCTGATCTCAAAAAAGGTTTCACTGTATTTTATATGGAGAGCCGAAGCATGTGGGGGGCAACCCAAGTTCGTGTTCCCAATGATGATCTCGGTGACCAACCGTACCCGTCAAACCAAGGCCTGGCAAACCTCGAGAGGCCCGTCGCAGAGGCCATCGTCCCACAGCTCTTTGGTGCGGAAGGGGTGCAGGATAGCGGGAAAGGGAAGAGCTAATTTTGTGGCGCACTCCACCGTGACATGGGCTACCGTTGGGGAGCTGCCGCAGTGCTGGCAAGAGTCTGCGTAGCGGTCAGGGTAGCACGGGATCACGTTCGATGTTTTTGGCGGGTGCATTGAGAAACCGGCTGTTTACAAGTTCAATAGTCGTAGTGACTGGTGGCGGTCGTGGCAGCACTCACTAGCATCAAGCGATGGTCACCAGCAGTATTATTCAGGTAGAAGTTTGAAACATTGGTGCACCGCCTTCAGGCGACGTGGACGAGTTTCAGTCTACGTTGCATTAAGTCATCTACGGCTACTAAATCGATACTCAGTTTGTTTCCCATGTCATCATTTAAACAAACATTTGCTAATCCACTCGCACCTCTCCTAATTAGCTTTGACTCTTGAAACACAGTCACGCTTTATGTCGCTTTCTGTGTGACTGTCGCTCCCTTAAAACGGGTACATCACTTTTCTATGCTCTCCAAGCATGCGACGCTACTTCCCTGAAGCTTCCATGACACCTGCTGTACCAGAGGATCGTCTTTATCATTTCTTCGATCACTTGGACTTCATGATTTTTTGAAGATAAAACGAAATGCACGCTATTGTCATCCCTCTCTCTTTTTTTTTCTTTTCGTTCGTTTCACGCGTTGGCTAATGTCACTTGGCACTGAGACTCGCGAACGTTCTTTGTTTCATGTTTGCGCACGCAAACGCCACGAAACAAAATAGGTGCACCTTGTTCTTGTTTTATTATCAGCATTAGCACCTAAATACCTCCCAATTAATATCCCTCATTTTACGTAGTCACATATACAAACGTAAGCGCATGCATGTTCTCGAATTCTGGCTTTGTCAAAATTTTGCGGTGCGTCAACCTGTGACACTGTGCTCACGATGCAATTATATTTTGCTGTTCTATATTTCTGCAAAAGCTTTCTGCAGGCACAAGAACCGCTTTTGTATCTTATACTAGGAATATTGTAGGAAAGGCAACCCTTTATACGTCCAGCTACAAAACACCCTTACGGTCCCCACTATATCGTCCTCGAATATGCTGGATTATTTGAATAGCCACGCAGATTTATTGATATGTATACAGTTAACTAGTCGCGGTAAACTGGAGAAAATATTTGGTTCACTTCTTCAAACACTGCATGCATCATTTTTTGCATGGTTTCATTGCTGCTGTGTGCCTGCAATGTTATTTACTTGCACTTGGCGAAGTGGCACACGGAATATTACTTGAAGTATTCGACCAATTACTTTTTTCTTCTTTCTTGGGGACCTTCGACGCGAAAATTGAGGTCTGTCTGTCTGTCTGTCTGTCTGTACATTTGTCTGTTTGTCCACTCTCAACGGCATCGGGTACTTGAAACGGCTGGCCCCATCTGAAGCGCCCACCAATGTTGCTCAAGCTTCAGCGTTCATACTTGTGCAATCGTCATTTAAAAAGCAATTATTGCGCATGTCTGGGGCACCACAACAACACGTATATATTCTGCATTTGCATCTTTTACTAGAAAAGGCATACATAAGTAAATTTAGGGACCGTAGCGCTTATCACGCTGCGCTGACCATGCAACGCTTGCACGAAAAGGCGAGTGTTTCCAACGCTTTGCTAAGACAAGATGGTGGTGGCACCTACCCTCTGAGACAGGCGCGCACACCCGTATCAAAGCCACGCACTTCGCTTTCCAGGTGCCAGGTGGCGCACATGTCTCACGTGGGACGTGACTTGATGCGTTCGTTCGCCTCTGCTGCACACTTGAGGCACTCTAACGCAGTGCCTACAGAATACCATTTACCAATTTTCTTGCGCAGAACATGAAATAAATGTTTTGTTCACTTTCTCCACACGCGACGACAACATTGCAGTATAACATGCAAATATGGGGCTAATATTTTTAGCTATGATCATTGATGAATCACGAGCACTTGGCTTTCCGCCGGACGCCCCAACGTCTGTTATAACGCGGCATCGTGTAAGCACTGTAGCATATGCCCACGGAACTGAAACTGAGATGCAGAAACTCATTGGCTATCATCGTACACTCTCGCTACTAGATGCTTTGCATGCCATCTTTCGATTATCGGCACACACTTCTTTCTTTCCTTGTCGTTTCATCCGCTACCGTGTCTCCTCCTTGCCCTTAATAGTACACAGTAAATGAGGTTCCTGCCAATGCAATCGTACCACCTCGAGATAAGAGAACTTTAGGCCTATAAAATGCTGAGTCAAAAGAAAGCTTTGAGAATATGGCCCCTCGTGTTTTAAGCTGCGCTGAAAATGGGACACACGGTGTGAAAAAGCCTAATGCCGTACGGTGTTGTAACCTAGCAGTTGCCCTGGGTTCTGCACAAGCTCCAGCCGAAGTCTCGCCTTTCAACGACTTTGCAGCGTAGTACGCAGATACGGGGCTCTTTTCCAAGGGAGCCAAAATTATGCACGTTGGCAAGAGAAACCCCGCGAGCCTATATTAACTCCACTTCAGAATTCCCGAGTAATCGGCTCACTCACCAGCGCTCACGTGGACGTCTGTGCTTGCCACCGTGCCGATTTCATTGGACGCGATGCAGTGGTATGAGGCTGCGTGCACGTCTTGTCTGTAGGATTCTGCTGGAAAAGGAGGGAACACCAGGGCGCCGTCCTCGGCCAAGACGCGGACGCCTGGCACGACTGTGACGGGAACGGAGTCGGCCGTTGCCCACACGAGCAATGGAGCTGGCTCGCCCAGTGCTTCGCAACGGAGCTCTCCGCCGCTGGCGTTTGAAAATTCTAACCGATGAGGCGGCTCTAAGGTGAACCGAGGACCACGGAGGGATGGCGTAGAGACCACGTCTTCCATGGACGGTGGCTTCGCGTGTGCGCAAGGCCCCGTGGCCAACCAGGCTGCAAGATAGAGAGAGAGGAATGACGCTATTATGTAAAATAAGTAGGGAAAGTTTTGTATGAGTGTTCCAAAAAGCTGTTAGTCACAACTTTCCGCCAAATATACAAAGGAAGGCATGCCCAGAAAAACAGATTGACAGATTATATGCTCTAAAACGTTAGCTTTTGATCAGTCACCTTTATTTTATTCTAAATCTTGCGATTGTCAAACAAGTAGGAACAGTGAATATTTTATTCATTTGTTTTGTACCAGGTCATATCAGCACCAGCTCTGTCAAAACCTCCCCAACCGCGGTTGTCTAGGGGCTAATAGTAATATGGTGGTTTTGGGACGTTACACCCTGCATATCGATCAATCCTCTGGGAAAACCACGATGCAAAAAAAATAATAATACATTTTTCTTACACCAAGGTGAAGATGATGACGCTTGTGTGTTGTGGGTCCCAGTTCACGGTGGAATATGATTAAATGAACTGGTGAATTTATTTTATTAGTTTGAGCTTCGCTTGGTCAACCAATAGATAAGGTACTCCCAGAAAAAGAATACATAGCATCAGATAAATATAAAAATAAGTAATTTTCCAGCTTTGATGGAATGCATCACTAAACAGACAGTCTATCAGCACCTCAGATATTCTTCTAAATCTCAGTGGAGTCAATCTACAAATATTGAAGTTAGTTTGGCCAAATTGTGATGCCGTCTCCCCTCCTTCAAGTTTTACTTCCACAGAGCTGGTCGGGCGAAATCATGGTGCCCGGGGCCTTTTTGCAAAAAAAAAAAGAACAGAAGCTCGTGAACATTACTTTGTATCCTGTCGTGAATATCTATTAGGTAAAGACTTTTTTGACTTCATCCGCAGAAAATGTTCTGAATGCCGGCACCTATACCTTGGGACATTACTACAGAAATGTATTTGATATAGTTTGTAGTTTTATCTAAGCAACTAAACGTATTCTAACCTGTTCTGTACTTTAATATATACTCATAAAGCGGTTGTGATTCAAATGGTAACGTGAATATATGAAGGACATAAATTCGCATTGAATCAGGTCAAGTAAACTCCGCTGTCTAATAAGCTAAAATTTCAGACTCCTTTTATGTTGTTAGCATTATTGCCTTTTATTTTTTTCACTTTCTTGTTTTTATCTTTGTAACTTTTCTGTATTTTTTCGTTGTAAAGCTTTAGTACTGACTTAGCAAGCAATAGTGTAGTTATCATTCATAGACTACAAAAAGCGTTTAGGGTACTTGAGTGGGTACGTGCCCAGTTCGACAGGCTACAAACAAACAAACAAAGAAGCGCGCTCCATCTGGTTCAAGGCTGATCGCTTGTAGTGGCTCAACCGGTGTATGCCTTATACAGTCTGCGGCAAATCTGCTGCTAATTCTTACAGGTCCTACAAAATATAAAGCAGCCCACTAAACTAATATTCGTATCCGAGAACGTCTATGGATTCTCCCTTCTCAGGATGTCGCACTCATGAGACATGACTCTGAAGAGATAAAAAGACTCAAAAGGGACGAGGACGTCTTCTTTCATTGAGGCCAGTCAAGAGAAATTGCCAGCACTGAGTTGCCAGAACTGAGACGCCAATTGTTTTATGGGGTGCCACAAGGCACGAGGTGAGTGGCCTGCCAACGCAATCAAAATAGATTGAGGAAATACACGACCGTAAAGGCATTTTCGAGATGAGACAACCATTTTCGTTGACTTCAAAAACGGCTCAAGAAATTAGGCTGTTGTGTAGCAAACACTGTGCCGTGAAGTTTGTTCTCGATAGAATTTGGAAATATTCATGTATACAAAAAACGCGTAAAACAATACGTAGCACACAAAAAGACAACAAATGTTGTGCACTGGAGGCTCTATTTCGAGTGAATAAAAATGCAATTTTTAGTCTCCCAAACAGGTAAGCGAAACAGGTAAACAGGTTTCAAATTGATAGTCTCGTGAATACTAGCGCTATGATTTTTTGCCTTATCCGGATGATTTCGAAGACGCGTGCTTACTGTATTTACGACAGGACTACAAAAAATATGTTGTTTTTTAAAGTGGTCCTCAAGTATCAACACCTGAGCGTAACCGTGCAATTGTCCTTTGTCACGAATGCCTTGCGGAACCATGTCTCTGCACCTACTCTGTAGCACAATGAGACAAATAAGTGTCCACTTTCAAATCAACATACTCCCGTGTGCCTTTTATTCGCCTTGAATGAGACGGGCAGAACAAGAGGAGACGTCTATAACGGTATAGTATCAGGAGATTTTTTTAAGAGGTGGGGTGTGCGAACATGGCCAAAAGAAGAACGTCTGGACACCACAAACGCATTTAGGTATGGGGGTCTTTGTGGATTTTGTGGCTGATGGTTGACCAGCCCGTGATATTCTCTCTTCGACGACCGCTCCCTGATATGGGCCCCATCTACGGGCTTCTATAACAATCTCCCAATCTGTTATTTTCCTCTAAATAATAAATTAGCTCGAACTCTTCAATTCCCTCCTTCTCTCTCCTCTTGTGAGCAACTGCTGACGTGTTGCACTTTGCTGCTGACAGTGGCAGGGTTCACATTTCTTTTATTTTTTTTTCATTATTTAAAATCACTTTCTCCGACCTCTTGCTCTTTTCCTACTGGCCGGGTTGTTTCACGCCAACCGGTTTCTGGCGTGGCATAAATTACTAACTAAACAAAAGAGGCGTGCACGTCACTTCTTTCCTATTTTGCTCTGCGCTCTCGCGTCCGATTCCTCAGTTGTTAACGGTTGTCTTTCAGCAGTTTATTCAACTATCGGACAACATTCAACGCTATTGAGCAGCGAGTGGTCCATGTTACGTGGTAACATGAATAGTGGCCTTTGCACCAGGAAGAAACACTTGAGGTTAATAGATGTTCATATATACCCTTGTGTGATGGTTAAGGACGTTCGTCACTATGTTTGTTGACAGCGGACGAAAAAGGATTCACATCAACAATGGATGCGAACAAAAGAAGCGTTATATTGTACACTAGAGAACGTCATGGCAGGCGAAAATAAAACTATATGTCCAACCCTACACGCCGAGCGTCACGCAACATGTACGAGAGTCAGACCTCTAGCATGCGGAGAGCTCGCGGCTACGCTTACTCCGAGTCCAGCGCGTAGAGTTCTCCGTTCACAAGAGGAAAACGCTGCCTCACAGTTTGGGTCCCCGTCGTCCCGACATGATGCGATTGTCGACGTGCGCGAGGGCAAAGGTGGCACGGCTGGAGCGGCTGGAACGGCTTACGGCACACGGATGCGCTACCGTGTGCAGCGCCGTTTAGTCAGACGTCGCGGCCAGCAGTCAGGGTCGCAACTCCTGAGGTTCAGGGTCAGGCCCCGGCTCACGAGGACCACGCCCGGTAGGCCTCGCCACGAACCTGCTCCCGGCCACTGCACCCAGGCAGGAGCCGTTCAGCAGGCCCCGTCCTTGCACCTTGAACAGGCCGGCGGACTCGACCCCGAACGAACACGCCGGAGCTCGACCTGGCCGACACGTACGGGTCCCACGTCCGGCTCAGGAACGCTCCCAGGAACTCGTCCAGCTCGAGCGGCGCACTGCTTCGTCTGTCTTCGTGGTCTCCACGCTCGAGCTCGCTTTTCCACGTTCCTTCTTCTTCTCCTCTTCTTTTTCATTTCTTGTTATCGCCTTCGTGCCACCTGCCCTCCGCTCGTCTTCTTTAGTTTCGGTTTGGCGTTCCTCGGCGCTTGCAAGTCCTTTTAGCCACAAATCGTACCTAAACACAGCACTTTTGTGTCCATTCCTTACAAATATCCCCCTGCTCAAGAAAGTTGTTTAGGGGGAAAACAACTTTTCACAAGCGCGCGAGGTGGAGTACCCAAAAGTGAAAACATAGCAAAAAAAAACATTATTTACAGAAGTTCATTCTGTTAGGGAAAGGGTGAATTGACATGAAAAGAAATTGTGCCACCACTAAACGCTAACCAGCGGAGAAGTCAAATGCGGCTGAGGTAGTCGGCACCTACGTTGTCGGAGCCCTTAATGTACTCAACCACAAAGTCATACTCAGTAAGCAATAGGCTCCAGCGGAGTACTCGGCTGTTGATGTGTTTTGCGGAATTTATGTACGCAAGCGGCTGGTGGTCAGTTTGCAGCACGAATCGGTTTCCGAAGAGGTACACATGAAACTTTTGTATAGCCCACACAAGAGCCAGCGCCTCTCTTTCGATTGTTGAGTACCGTGACTCCCGTTCGAGCAGTTTACGGCTTGCGTAGGCTACTGGATGCAACATGCCGTCGTGACGCTGCATTAAAACGGCTCCAATGCTGGATGAAGATGCATCCGTGCGCAATATGAATGGCTCTTGTAAGTCCGGTGATCGCAGTACCGGACCAGATGATAGTATACGCTGTAGTGTTACAAACGCTTGTTCATGGCATTTTTCCCAGATGACCTTATTTGGACCTCGCTTCCTAGTGAGTTCCGTTAGAGGTGATACTACAGCGGAGTAATTGGGCACGAAATCCCGATAATAACCGCTTAAACCTAGAAAGGAGCGAACTTCTTTCTTCGTCTTCGGTCTCTTTGCGGCCTGAATCTTCTCCAATGTCTCAATCTGGGGTCGGAGAAGATTGTTCCCGAGAATGTGTCCCAAGAATTTCACTTCGGCAAAAGCCACCTCACTTTTCGATGGCTTTATTGTGAGATGAGCTGCCCTGACACGTTGCAGAAACTTGGTGAGAGTTGTTATGTGCTCGTCCCAAGTTTGTGTCGCTATGAGCACATCGTCAAAATAGTGATAGATGTTCGGTATTCCATCTACCACTCGTCTCATTAGTCGGGTGAACACAGCAGGCGCTGTTTTGATGCCGAAAGGCATGAATCTGAATTGGTAAAGGCCAGAAGAGGACTGAAAAGCGGTGAAGACCTTCGATGCTTCGTGCATCGGCACCTGCCAGTACCCTTAGGTGAAGTCGAACTTCGAAAAGTAGTGGCTCTGACCTAGTTTGGCAAAGAT